TAACTGTGTAGTATTTATCTATTTGTAGACCAGAGTCAACTACATGCAGATTTTCAGGTTTTAAAAGCTTCACTAAGTTTTTAGAAGACATTTCCATTCCCACTTCAGTTTACCAGGCAAATGGAGTTCGCCCACAACTCTACAGTAAAAATTCACTTTAAGCCATGCCTGAAAACCAATATTGGAGGAAGTTAAGGTGTAAAAAAGCAGAAACATAAAAAGTTTCTGTCTTAGAGGGAAGATTTTTACTACTAACATGCAACATAGGCAAATCTATGCCTGTTGAGGGCACCACACATCTGGACTTCTGAACTTCTGCAAGTTCAAAATGTGAACCATAATGTTGCAAAATAAGAGTTAAATGTTGTTAAAAGAATAAGAAAATAAAAAATAAATCCTCTAGTTATGTATTACTAAGGTGATCAATGGGGCCAAGTCCAACTGGAGACCTGTAACTAGCTTCTCAGCAAGTTGATGACACGAAGCTGGGAGGTTTGGCTGACACACCTGAAGGCTGTGTGGCCATTCAGTGAGATTTGGACAGACTGGAGAGCTGGGCCAAGAGGAACCTAATGAGGTTCAACAAAAACAAGTGCAGAGTCCTGCACCTGGGGAGGAGCAATAAATTGCACCAGTACAGGTTAGGAGGAGATCTGCTAGAGAGCAGCTCTGTGGAGAGGGACCTTGGAGTCCTGGTGGACAATAAGTTGTCCATGGGACAGCAGTGTGCCCTTGTGACCAGGAAGGACAATGGAATCCTGGGCTGCATTAAGAAAAGTGTATCCAGCAGAACAAGGGAGGTCCTGCTGCCCCTCTACTCTGCCCTGGTGAGAGCTCACCTGGAGTATTGTGTCCAGTTCTGGGCTCCCCATTTCAAGAAGGACAGAGATCTACTCGAGAGAGTCCAGCAAGGGCTACGAGGATGACTGGGGGACTGGAACACCTGCTGTATGAGGAAAGGCTGAGAGACCTGACTCAGAATTCCTCTCAAGTCCAGGAGTTGTTGAGCTCACATAACTCGCAGTCCTCTTCAAGAGTCTCATGAATACATAAATTCTTTGCTCAGACATTACAAACCTTTCCTAAACAGTTCTGAGAGCAGCCCCTAATGATCCTAAGCTACAAAACATATGTCAAAAATGAGAAACAGAAGAGTATCTACCACCTGAGACTTTTTACAATCAGACAGAGGAAAAAATATGTATATATTTCCTAACAACCTGGCTCAGAAGGCAGGGGAAAAAAAAAAAAAAAGTTCTTCTACCTTTTTTTTCCCCCCCATTTGTTATGCCTACTCCTCCTTGACTGACAAGACCTTAAAAATTTTGTGATACTGGCCTCTAAATGCCATCCTAACATAAATGCTATGTGCCAGTACCAACAAAAACAACTGCTTTATGTTTAGAGAATGCACTAGCAAAACAAGCCTTTCTTTCACTAGGTACTTAGAATTTACTATCCACAGCTGAACTGGAAGCCGCAGACAAAAGGAAATGGCCATTATAATGAAACCTCCACAAAACATTTCTCATAGGTAATGAAATTCTTCAGGTATAGGACTTCTGTGCACTTTCCTGTTGTTGGTGGTGTACAGCAAGAGTTTCCATGCTTTTGCCTCAGCAATAGCTAGAGGTGCCCATTTGTCCCACCTCACTTCTTAAACGCACAAACAAGGTAGCACCTACTATGCGATCCCAAGTATTTCCCCAGCCAGATTCACCTATAGATGGAAGAACTAAGAGAAGACAGAGCCATGTCATGCATTTCCAGAAGGACAGGTGTCACCTCAGAGAGCTCCACCTGGGAACCAACACTCTTATCATTTAAAGTGCTCCATACACAGAGACACAATATGGTCAGTTCCCGGTTGTACGTCAACCTACACACCAAGGGCTGTTCTGGAATACCTAGAAGACAAACTACATTATTTTTAATCTCCACCAAAATCTGTTCTGCCTCCACTGTTCAGCAAGAGGTCTGAGCTGCAGGTGGCCAAGCAGCAAAGGCATCAACAAGGTATGAACAAGGCATTCTTCACACAAAGCTACCAGGGCAAGCTGAACTTTTTAACATAGGCACTATCATGAAGCTGCTCAATGTTAGTGGTCTCATCACATGCACCACAGCAACCAATTACCCTACTGGCATCTCTTGGTACAGACAGTTATGGCCTTGAATTCTCACAACAACAATGAGCTAAAAGAAAATACAGGAAATATCTGTCTTTTTTACAGCTGAAAGCAGAAAGTCTTTCTGATATCCAGCATACATCCCATTTCATAACTGCAACAGTGTGAAATTTAAAAAAGAAATCCTAAGTAATTTCCTGACTCTGAATCCTTCCTAAGATTTGTCTAGAGTCAAAGTTCACAATGACAGGTTGAATCATTCTCACCCCTTATCCCAAAGACTCCTCTAAATACAAGCTGCATAAGCTGAAAAGACACAAAGTCATAATGCTGCAGACATTTTTTTTTCTCTACCAATTACAACACTGAGGTTTATATTTTTTCAATGTTTTCCTTTTATTCAAAAAGTTTACTAATTACAGGCAGTACTTGGAACTTTCTAATATTATGCAAGAATTAAATCGTTTTGTAAATTGTATCATAAACTTGTTCCATCAGTTAATTTAAGGCAAATTATGTCTACATATTGTGCTCTATCAAGAAATAAACCAGATAGAACACTCATTTACACTGGATTTTGTAACAACAATGTGTCTACAGAACGCCAGTCATTCTATTCATACTAATAGCCCCTTTAAAAAACTAAATGCTAGAACTAAAAGGCCCAATTAACTCACAACGACCAGGAACTTCAGTTCTCTTTGATTCACATGAAACAAGAATGCCATCAGATGAACCAATTTGGACTGTGGGGCAGACCCAACCGATTTTAAAAAAAAAAACCAAAAAAAAACCCCTCTTTAAATTAATAATAAAATGTTACTTTGTATAACTTAAGTCTAATTGATTAGTATATTATTCTCATTAATACAAATTTAATTCTGTTGAGTTTTAGGGAGTGCATTTAGCAATACTATTTGAGTAATCAGTTTTGTAACAGGGCAATTTTTAGGAAAAGGTTAGATCAAATATAGTTTGTTTGGTGTTTTTTTTTTTTTTGAAGTATATGGGATTTGTATATATAGGATTAGCTCTCATCCCTATATTGTAGTTGCCCAAAGACAAACATTTCAAAAGATATACAGTATTATCTGTTCTGCAACCAGGAAAAAAAAAAAAAAAAAAAAAAGAAAAAAGCATGAACCTGCACATACCTCATCCTGGCACTGGAAAGTTTTCTCTGCCATGGGAATTAAAGGTTCAAACTATATACCTCCATTTTTCAACAGCAGACAAAACTAACTTCTTAAACCATAACTTAACATCTTTACCAGTAGATCACTACTGAAATACTCTATTTTAACTGTTATTTTGCCTTTTTAGCATATAAGCCAGTTTCTTAAACCAACCACAAGAACAAAATAAAAAAACAAAACCAAGAACAAAAAACCCTTCAGAAAGAAAGGGAACCTGCTTGTGAACGCCAACAAAATATCATAACCCCATTTAAGATGACCCTTCTTTCCTCCCTTTCACATTACAAAATCTTACAAAAACAAAAGAGAAAAATTGGAATGTGTTTTCCCAGTATTATAAACACTGCAATAGTTTCTCTTCGTGGCCCTAACCGTTACCTTAAAACAACTGTTTTCACACCATAACTAAATAACTGTGTTCTTAATGCTTCCAACACTATAAAAAGAGTATTTGTAATTATTAGATATCATGAAATAAAGATTAACTTCTGCTCACAGAGGACAAAAGTGATAATGTTACAAGCTAGGAAAACTGTCAAGAGAATAACTTGATTAATTAAAAAACCCTCCTCTATGTGGACAACTATCCAAAACTCTGAAGTGAAAAACTTAACTATAATGCTGGAAGACTACCAAAAAAATTCTATTAGCTACTCCAAAAACTATCCCTCTGAAGGAAGGCTTCAAAGTCCTATTGTAAAATATTAAATAATGAAATCTCCCCAGTTCTCTACGGGCATTGAACAATATGCTTCAAAATTAATTTCATAATTGAAGTCTTTGAAAGAAACACTCTAGAAGCAAAAAAATATTTTAAGTAAGACACAAAACATTATGATGATGTTCAGGCAGACTCTCTTAAGAAAATTAATATGAAAATGACAATAAATTAGTATTTTATGCTGAAACGAAAGAGTAGGAATGTCAGCTCTTAATTCTACCTTAGCAGACTGCATAAAAATCAGTCACAAAATGATTAATGACTTTGAAGTTACTGACTGCTTAAGTGTTAAATTAATTTCAAAACAAATGCAGAAAAGGGGTAATGGCTTTCAACTAAATGAGGGTAGTTTTAAATTAGATACAAGGAACGCAATTTTTACAATGGGAGTGATAACACTGGCACAGGTTGCCCAGAGAGGCGGTAGATGCCCCACCTCTGGAAACATTCAAGGTCAGGTTGCAAGGGCCTCTGAGCAACCTGATCTAGTTAGATGTTTCTCCTTACTGCAGTGTGGTTAGACTAGCTGAGCCCGCAAGGTCCCTTCCAACCCAAACCATTCTATGATTCTAAAAACAATTGCTTCCAGGGAGCTAAACTTTTGTATTTTTACTTTCATAACACTGGCCGTTATTACAAACTAAATATAGTCTTGGACTTAGACCTGTGAAAATTTGGGTAGTTCCAAGTCAGAAAAGGTCATGCTTCCTCTTATGGGTAATAGAGGCAGGAGAGTCCCTACTTGCCCAATATTAACTGAAAGAAACCAAAATGATTTCATAAATAGCACAAAGTAAAGCAGAAAAAGAAGACTGGTCAAGTACAGAAGAACAAAGCTGCTATCTTGATTCCAGGTAATAACCAACAGCAGATTGTCATATATGGAAACAAATGATCTAAGTATTAACCTAAAAACCCTCTTTTTTTAGCTAATACGCATCTATGTATCCTTACCAAGCTTCAGGCAACAAGAAAGCGTATTCGTGCGGTGAAGTAGTCTCTGGAAAATTGGAGAGAATTGCTTGTCTGTGTGGAAGTAAAGCTGATCCATGGAATGTGAACAGAATTTCCAGGGCTCTGACATTGCTTTCCTAAAGAACAAAACATTAAGTTACAGAACTAGCCTACGACTGATTTAGACTAAAAATAATAAATGTTAGCTTAGGTCATGTGACAAACATTCAATTGCAAACATTTCTTTAACAATGAAAAAAAAAAAATTAGTTCAGGGTCACAGCATTTATTTATTTACAATCTACGTCCACCTGTTAAATACTCACTGAGATTCAGCTAAATTCAAAGGGGAGAAAAAAAAAAGCTCTTAAGTGCAAACAGCAATACCAAAACAAAAATACATTTTTGTAAAATAAATATTAATACCCGAGCATAAGTTCTTGCTGAAAGTACAATATTCTGATTTCTGAACTTCTTGAAGAATTCACCATCATAGTGCTGTTCAGCTGCATGAGGTCCTCCCAGGATTTCCTTTAAAAAATAAAACTTTTTCAAAACCTTTTAAAAGATTAGGTTTTATTCAAGATTTACAAAAAACCTCTATGTTTCTTTCTCTTGGGATGAGTAAGTATACTTAGAGTAAGATATATGTGAAAAATTCGGCTGCTTGTTTTCATTTGTTTCAAAAGACAGATGCACTTTTGATTGATAAGCTAAGACAATTCTCTGTCTTATTTTAATTAGGGTTTAGACAACATTAATTACAAAGAGATATGGTAAAAGTCATTACATGACTAGTCCCAACTGCAAAGTTAAAATTAAAAATCCAGGCAAGACACTGTTCGACATTCCAGTAACTTTCACTTCCATAAGCTCATGGAAGAAAAGATTCATTAGAGAATCCAAATAGAACTTGCTAATTGGACTGACAGAGTGAAATAATAGTAATCCTGCATGAACGCTACACGCCATGTCGTTGCATAACTTACTTCCCTGTAGACAGAGTACATTCAAGCAGGCTTCTGCCCACCTATACCTCTGAAAACTAGAATCTGACCATTTGCAACAGTAAAGCAGGAGAAACATGGTAGTTTGAACAGAAAACAGCTTACCTACCTCAAGTGAGAGACTGCAGCAGTTCAAAAAGACTGTAAACATTAACACTAACATACATAATAAAAAATTATATGATGAGGTGACAAAAGAGTTACAGAAATACCTATGCAATGAGAACTGAAAAGGACTGTAGCCAATGAACAAGGTTTCTCACCTCATACGTCTCAAGGCGATCAAGGTAACTTAAGAGCTTCAGCCTGCTACGGCAGAGTTCTTTTTGTTCCAGTGTCAGCCTGTGTTTAAAACAGGAATTTTCATATTTGCAATTGATATCGTACATCATGCTCATAGGAAGACAATGGTTACACACTTTAATGACTCAAGATCAGGCTAGATGAGGCTCTGAGTAGCTTGATCTAGTCAGAGATGTCCCTGCTTATGGCAGGGGGCTTGGACTAGATGACCTTTGGAGGTCCCTTCCAGCCCAGACATTCTATGATTCTATATATCAAGAAATTACATAAACCAACAACTCTGACCCAATAAAACACAAATTAAAATTTAAACCACCTTCCTATTAGGAATAACAAATGAGAGCAATAACATTCTTGCAGCTGATAACAATAAACCTGTAACCCTAACAAAACGTGGCCTAACATTTTATTTACTTTGAGAAGCTGACTGATGATAGCAGTTCTTGACGTTTCTTGGACTCTTTTTCCCTTCTTGTATCCACTTCTTCATCTGGTGACAAAAAATCTTCATAGGGCATTTCAATGTCCACCTCCCCTGGTAAGATAAATCTGAAAGACAAAATCAACAATGTAATCAATGTCAATTAAAAAAAAATAAAAACTACAATCACCAACAAAGAGATAACGATGAACTAATTTTTGAAACTACAATCACCAACAAAGAGATAACGAACTAATTTTTGAGTAAACATACTAACAGCTTTCTGTTTATGTCTTGACTAAAAATGTAAACTTTTATAGAAAAAGATAATACTGAGCTTTGCAGTTACAAAGCAGCAACTCATCACAAGCCAGCAAGAGGCATCACCTCTTATTTCTACTCCCTTCCTATAACAACCCAAAAAATCCAAACCACCAACTACACAACTATAATGGTTAATAAGTTTCTAAATTCCACAGGCAGCACTGGGATTGGCAGCATTCAATGGTAACAGATGACTGCACAAAGAAAGAATAGCCTCTCCTATTTCTACCACCAGAAACTGAATACTAAAGAGAACACATCTAATACATGTCTCTGCATGTACTTCCCCACCAACCCACTGGGTTTTGCTTTTTCCCCACCTGAACAAAAGAATACAATTACAACAATTAAGACACACAACAAAATGCATTTATAGGGGTAGCTGCAGTTTCCAGAAAAGGCAACAGAAACAGATTCTCATGGGAAAACAGTGAAAGGAGAGACTCTCCATGAAGGAAAAGGCATTCAGAGAAGAAAGAAAATGTAGTACAAAAGCAATTGTTTTACCTTTTACAAAGGTAAAGTGAGAACAGGTACCTTGTGGACATTTTCAGAATACTCTGATTCAAAGCATTACCTTTTTTTTGTCCTGTAAAAGCTTAACATTTTCATTACTTGTTGATAAAAAATGAAAAATTACTAAATTATTAGAAAAATAGTTCATACACCATTTTCTAAAAAGAAAACAATTTTTTTAAAAAATATATTCTTCCCAAACCTGCCACCATCTTCTCCTTTTCCTATGGCCACAAGTGCCTCCAAGTCTGTGCCTTTCAAGCCGTACTGAAGCAGCTTCTTAGCAGCATCCACATTCTCTGGAACTCTTTCCAAGCACTCATGAAGAACCCATGCACGCTTCTTAATTTTGCTCTGTCCAAGAACAAGAGCATAGACACAATGTTAGATTTTTCAACGGAAAGCAATGAAACCAAAGAGATAAAAATATTTGAATGTGTTTCTTCCACTTTACACTTAAGAAAATGCCAAGTTAATCTGATGATTATGTGAACCAACAAAGGAGGTGAGAATGCCAAAACCACAGCTCCCTCAGAGTATATGTTGCAGAAGAAGACAGCAATGCCAAGTGATTTAGCAGCACTTTCACAACAACTGGAACAGAAGTTATTATTTGTATTCCCTAATTAAAAACACCCCTCCTTACACTAAATGATATGTGATGGTTTAGAGCTAAAATGTAGTTTTTATAAACCAAGTGTACTTCACAAGAACACTGGAGTTACTTTCAGTATCAACCTCTTCAAATGCTAGTAGTATTCTGTTACAGAAAAGACATGCCAGGATCACAAAACACTATTTGTCTTATCTGCTGATCTTCAATTGAGGTTACATAGCACACAGAGAATGGTTACTTGTAAAACTCTTATTTTAACATTCAATTAATATCCAAGTTAAAAACTCTAAAGTTAAGTAATATTTTTCTTGATCTCTTGGAGGACATTACCCTATAGCAGCATTAGGTTGTGCAGCTTTGACAAACACTTCTCTGCTGCATTTGAAGTCTTTCTTCCAAGCTAAAAATGCCCACATTGGATTCTACTGAAAAAGCTCCAGTTATAGGTACTAGAGTTCACTATAAATTTAGTTATTCATACTTCACTCTATAGCTATAGATACCAACTTCACCTTCCTATTTAATTTTCTAAGATACTCGGAAGTCATTTCAATGCTTTGTATTTCCAATTATTATTCTTCATTTCATTATATTATATATATTCTTATTATCAATATATTCTTATATTTCAATTACATTCTTCATTTATGGGCAACGATGAAATTAGAAGATACTTGAAAACAAAGATTTCCATTAACTTCCAAAGTCTCCAGACCAGGCGTTCAGTTAAATTAACAGGATCGCTTTCTTCCAAACGACATGAAATGGAATTTGCAGGACAGCTTTCCAAACTGCCACCAATTTATGTCACATAAATAAGAACAAAATGGAGAATTCAATTTCTGTGAAGGTAAGACTGTCTTTCTGGTGAAAGAGCCTAGAAGCCGTAAAAAAACCAAACCCACCAAGTAGTCTTGAATTGAGGCGACGTTAACAGCTGACTTTCTCCACTGTCTTTGATACACAAGATCAGAATCAAGGCCATACGTTTGAGCTAAAGACAAAGCTTCCCCATATTCTTCGTTGTCAATCTAAAAAGCAAACACATAAAAATGAAATTAATCTGCTTTCCATAATAAACAATGATTAATTCTGTGTCTTGAAGCAGGCAGAGGAATAATTACTGTAGTATGCTTAAGCAGGTAGGAAAAAGAATGGCTCAAGATATAAATGAGTAAGACCAAGATCTGATGGACATGACTAAAAAATCAGAGAGGTTTCCTGAAGAAAAAGAAGCATTATTTAGGTAATTGTTATGACATTAGCACTCCCTGGAAACTCTTAACAGCTACAGAGTAGGCTAGTTTCCCATCTGAACAATTGAAATGGCCAAGACAAAGTACCACCTAGAACAGTTTTATAAATGAAGTATCTGATCAGTAGGAGTGAGTTACAGGCCTAATTTGCACGTATTCCTGAAAAAAAACAAAAACAAACAAACAAAAAAAAAAAAAAAAAAACACCCAAGTAAACCTACATTTACATCAGGGTATAAGTTAAACCATTCCCTAGCCAGTAACAAGCTAAACTAATTTTATTCAATATATTTGCCAGGTCTTTCATCATTAGTAAACACTCACATGAGTACACTTTCAAGCTTGGCCAAGCTAATGATGAAGTGTCTCCTCAGTGACCTATAAACACCATCTCACTTGTATTATTATAACGCTAGTTTTAAATGATCCCTTCAATTAAGCAACACAGTACACAGCCAGCAGAGAGGTGCTCAGAAAGAACTATGTGCCTAAAAGCCTTCCACTAATACAGCAAGAACTAGAAAGAAAAAGTTCTTGCTAAAGAAAGCTAAGATAAATAGGACCTTCCCTTCTGAACTTACTTTTCTCTGGTACAGCTCCTCTGGAGTCGTGGATCTCAGACTGACAAGGCGGAAATTCTTTGCAATAGTACGTGGGCGTTTCCGTGGAGGAGCAAATCGTTCCATTTCTGTCACAAAATACAGGCCTTGCTTCAGGTAGCTGAAGTATCTGTCCTTGGAAGTTTCATCATCTGAGTCCGACTCCTCTTCTCCCTCATCTTCATCACCAGGCCTGCTCTCCAGGCGTAATCTTTTTGGAACCAGTTTTATCTCGCACTGCGCAGAAAATACGAATACGAAGCGTTCACCTAACTCACCTCTGCTAGACTGATGAGAATCAAGTACATTGCTTCCAGTCCTTCAAATTTCAGAATCAACATCCTTCCTCCCCTTCTCCTTTAAACCTTTAATTTCTCAGCTTGCTTAACATGCTCCACAAAATCTGACTGTGTTTATCTCTTACATCTGAGGCTTCATCCCTTACCTACTGAAGCAGGAGTGAAGGCTTCTCTAATAGGAACCTCCTATTATAGTAAACCTCCTACACCACCACCCCAGACAGGACAAAACTATGGAGACATGTTCACACCCCATTACCTAGTTTACTGCATCATACAGCATTTTTTTTCAACTATTAGCTATTCAAAACAAGTTCTTCTGTTCAATGCGAATGTAATCCTTAGACTGTAATATGCCAGTCACTGGCTGAATCTTATTTCCAGGAAAATAGACTTTTCCAAAAACAATGCATACCCAAGCTTGCATGAGATATTCTGATAATTATTACTTTAAACTTTTGTTTAAAATGTTTAAGACCTATATACAGTGTAAGCCTTAGGAAAGGGTAATTTCCTTAGTTCCAAAGGCAATTTCTGGTTCCATACCTTCATTATGTACTACTCCTCCTTAGAATCCTACTAAAACTGAACAAAAAATATCTCTCTTACATGGATTTGTCTTTTATAAATGTGTTCTCCATTTCCTTTAAACATAATCCCTCTGCAAGAAGCATCTGTTTCAAAATGGGAGAGGGATGCTTGCAGCATTCTTCAACTGCATTAACATACAAAACAGTGAAAAATATTCAACACAAACTGTTTCCTGCAGCAAGATTCCTCTCATTCAGACTCAGCCTTATAGAGTTTTGCACTCACCAGAAATTATTTCCCAATCAAGTTTTTATTAAGACAGTTAAGTTACAACCAGTTCAGAATTTCCCTGAAATACCTGTCTAGAGATAAGGAAACCTTTTTTCTTTTCATAATAATACCTTTTTTCAATCACACCACACATACAATACCCTTAGTACTGTATATACCTAATTATACCCTTTATACCCTTTTGTACCATATACAAAAGCAAACTGTTCTAACGCATTCCAAAAATGTATCTGCCTGTGCACATTCCTCACCTCCAGACTTAGAAATCCTCCATCATGAGCTGAAGTGACCTGAGGAGAACTCTCAAACCATTCACATGACTTCCCCAGCAAGTTTCTTAACGTCTTGACTGATGACACAGTCAATGCACCAGAGCAGCGAGCCAGAATGACAGAATTATCTGCCCACCAATTTACATCTATCAATGGGTAATAGAATTCTTTATCTAAAACAAATAAAAATGCACCATACAAAGAAAGATAAATTTAAACATCAGATAAGAACAGAATTGACTTGAATTAAGAGATTTCATCTGATGGCCTAATTTAAAATACATTTATTAGTGAACCAAGGATGCATATCCAATAAGTTTCTATTTTAGATCAATTATATTTTACTAAATCAGTTCTGCACTAAATAAAGCTGTTGAGGAGAAAAAAAAAAAAATCACTTAATTGTCGATGTAATTATTTTTTAATGTCATTTGGAAATAAAAAAATCACAGTAAACAGATTTACTTGTAAAAACTATCACACATTTTAGATATTTGATAAAGATCTTGTTCAACACATCCCAAGCCATCCTTGACCAAGTCTCTCTGCAATAACGATAATACCGGTGAAAATCAGAAAAGCTGACAATGGTTTTGAGGACAAGTGACAGCTATGAACAAGGCTCCTGAAACAGCCTGCAAGATGAGGTTGTTAAGAAAAATTAAGCCAACGAAACAAACAAAAACTCACCACAACTTAGGATGGAAGCTGTGCCATTTTGAATACTGTTGTGATTATGGTGACTGGATAAAATGTTCACCAAGGTTTTAACTTATTCACTATAGTTTTATTTCCCACCTCTCAAACAAGAAAAGGTACTTCCCCAAACAGCACTGAGAACCAGACCAGCTTACGAATTCTCTGCCACTTGAGAGCTTAGTTAGCAGCCTAACAACAAAGGGCAGATTAATTAACCCAAAGACAAAACCATGACTGCAAAAATACGCCATTAACTTGGGAAAGTGCAGTTACTTGGAAGAGACTGCACTGAAAGGTAAGATTACTGAACAGAATTAGTTCTGTTCTAACTCAAACCAGGACAGTTAGCTTTCCAGATTTATTAGACAGTCATAGAAAGAAAAGATAAAGATAATTTTAAATTTTAGGCTGCTGACTCTAATAATGTGTTACCTGCAGTATTATTATGTAGTAACTGTTAGAAGCTGAGACATCTGCTGAACGTTCAGCGTTCCACAAAACCATACTCACATGTTTAATAATAAATGAAGTCCTGAGCTAACTGAAATATCATCTTATTTAATGCTTATACCTGCAAAAGTACTCTTAAGAGAGGATTTTTTTAAAAAACCTGTTCTGATGCTCATTCAGCTATACCATATACAAATTCAAATCATATGTATAATTTTAGCAACTATTATATCTGATATTTAATTAAGCCATTTCAAGACTTTGTACATCTGTGTAAATATTTTTAACTGCACAGTGGTATAATGATCCAACTGTACTGTATACCTTTGATTTTCTTTCTTTTTTCACTAGAGAGTCTCCAGTCTGGGTTGATCTCATCATAACCGGGCTAAAAACAAAAAATAGTGAAACAGAAAAAGAGGATTATATGCAAGTAACACAAACTGCTTACTTACTGTACTGTCACATGAGTGACATAAAAGTTTGCCAGTATCTGGGCAATTCTTAACTGAAGTTTTCCTGACTAATTTTGCAAAGAATTGAACTGATGAACAAACTGTTCTGGAGCATTATTTGGTAGAAGGCAAGGTAAATATTGAGGGAAAAAACAGACAATCATATCAGACATCAAGCAGAATTCAGTTTCAACTACTGAGAGTTACCCGTATAGGCCTCTGCTGATATAATACAGCTTTCAGTCTACCTCCACCACTGCTATCCATTTGGCACCAAAATGTGTCATGAAAACTTCACTTCAACATCATTGGTTCTTTTTCTTCATTTTTTAAGTTTAAGGCTTATGGTTGAAACGTAGACAGATTATTGTCAAACTAAATATAGGGCTCTACAAAAAATATGGAGTTGACCAAAAAGATAGCATGCAGCCAAAGTACAGTTATCTGAACTATTCTCACCTCCTAGGAAAACACACCTCCAGAGAATTAAGATATGTACTATGAGTTTTTAAAGCTCTACACAGTTCTTACCTGATCAGTTTGGTCCCATTCTCCTTGCTGTCTGAGAGATGGTACAGACCAGATCGTAAGTTTTCCTGAGAAATGAATAGCTGCCAGAAGAGCTCCATCAGGAGAAAGATTCATCTTGAAAACTCCATCCTGCCAAACATTATGTCAGCATAGTAAAAGAAAAATAAAAATAAAGCCCAACACAAAACACACACACACCACCTCACATATCAAAGAATATGAAGGAAAAAAAAAAAATCCCAAGCTATTTTTTCTATTTTATGGGGAAAAAAATTGTACAGTCTTCCATCCTGAAAATTTAATATGCTTGTCAATGGACAATGCTTTAAATTAAAAAAAAAAAAAAAAAGAAAACACACTACCCTATGTTAAAAGTCAGGATAAATACAAAATATCAGCTGGGACATGGAGGAGTAAAAACATCCTGTATAAAAAGAGGAACATTACCACAACACAAATAAATCTTTGGCAAATGTAGACTTCTGTATCACATCGTTATACAGCTAACAGAATCTGAAAGTGTGGCACTCCTAGGAAAATGTCACAGAGAGCAGTGGAGGGCTACACAGAGGAGAAACTGCAGGTTGTCTTCTGTGCAGAGAAAACGTTAGGCAGCCTCAGTTCCCTACTGTCCTGCCTCTCAGGTCCACCCAAAGAAGACTGTTACCAAAACACAGCCTAGTATAGATTTCCCAAAAGCAAACTTTTGGGTAGGTGTTCTTAGAATAAAATAAAACTAAAATCATTTTTTTAAAAAGGAGACTAGAAAGATGATGAGAACTTGGAAGGACACTTTGTTCAAACACATTGTTATTTCAGGACACTGAACTGGAATTTAAGAATCTCTTGGGTAGCAAGAGACTAAGCAGCAATATAGTGAACATCAGATGAAGTCCATACAGACGAAATAGTTCAGCATCTCTACGTAAACTTCATGAAGGCTACAAAAATCCGCACGCATTAAGGTTTCCTTCAGCTCTAGATACCTTAGGAGGCAAAACATACTTCTAACAAAATGTTTCCTTAATGATTCAGCAACTCCCACACAATTACAACCGTATCTATACACTATTACCATAAGATAAGAGCCTCCAAATACACACTCAAAATTTAAACCCAAACTTGGTGCCACTGACAATGCATAATAACTATAAATTATGTTTTCAGAAATTGTTATTTCCCCTGCCTCCAACACAACTACTGTGTTTTTCAGAAAGATCACTAGGTTCTTAGAGAATCTAATCATTACTGAAAGACAGTAGAATGTAGATTCCCCAAAATTGTATTTTTTATAAAATCCCATTTTGTTAGTGTGGTTTGCTTTTAAAAACTTCCAAATAAAGATTCAACCCATGGTAATGTTAGACTGTCCAAGTCTGCAGTTAATGAATTTTTAAGCCAACATGTCCTCTCTTGGAAAACACTCCAACATGAATGAGGTACAGAAAAGTTACTGGACCTCCATACGATTAACAAGTTTTAATGGCATTTCTACAGCACATTAGTGGTAGGTACCATTTGAGGATAACAATATTCTTTTAGGGTATGTTTGTTTGGATTTGGGAGGGGTTTTGCTTATTTTTATTTTATTTCTGAGGCTAAGTTCTAGCTATGCCACAGAAACAATGACAATCAAGTCAATCCTCTCCCTGTTGTACAGTGGTTTGCAGCTACTGAGAGCATTGCTTAAATCCAAGTTTAAAATGTGTTTTTAATTGAAAAGGAGAGCATTATTAAGCTTTTTTAAAACCAATTAAGAATTATTTATATTAGAAAAATTTCATAAGTATTCTCTGATTATCTTAAGCAGCTAGAGTGCTGCAATCTCTCCTGGAGTTTGCCAAGGAATTGTAATGCCTACTAATGGAAATTCTCTCTTTACAATTCAATTTGCATACACAGAGGACAAAGAAAAAGACTGCTAAAGGACTCAGAAACGTACAGCTACAATATGTAATCCATTCAAATAAATGAACAGTGATATATATCACAGACTTTAAAAGGAATTAAACGCTTACTCAGTAGTCAGTAATAATTATCTTGCTGTTAAATTTAGAGTTGGTTGGCCATAAACACATTCAAATTTAGCACCCAAGCATTGTTATCTATAGAGACTAATCAGTTCTTGGGCAAAGCAGGCAATGCTGCCTCAGTACACAGCTTGTCAACCTAAGGGAACCACAGAACAAGACACTGAAAACCTCAACAGCTTGGCACTTCACATTTTATAACTGCCATTTCAGTGAGCAACACCACAAATCAAATCTCAACAGAGCTAGTTCTAATATACAAGTCCTATAGCTACTGTGCCTGTTGTACCTCAATGCTGTTGCCAATGTCCCCACTCAGAACATAAACTCCACCTCACATATTTAAACCATAATCTCTGAAATGAAACTAAAACATTCAAGGATGAATAACAATCCCTGCTGTTCTTTGTAAATTTAGTACTGGCAAGTGCAACGCAGTTGAAGTTTAGTACAGCTACACTCAGTACTAGCCTTCCAGTAAAAAAGTTTACTTGAGCCTTCTGGTTTATATTTTCAGTGAAGGAAATAATATCTCTCAGCATTCCACTCAAGAGAGAGATTCAAAAAGATTTGGTTTCCCCTTCCAATCAAACAGGCAATTTCTTCTTTTAACCAGTCACCTAAACATCCCAAAAATCTATTAAGGTCATTTCCAAAGTCCATATAACTTCAGACTAGCTATTTTTCTTCTCAGGAGGACACAGTGAGGATGCTAGACAATTCTTCACTGCTCCTTCCTTGTACAGCAATAGAAAGGAAACCAATTTTTCTGTAAAGAGGCAAACGGGGATTAAAAAAAGGCATCTAACAAAGGCTACACACAACTAGTAGACAAGAGATAGGAGAAGGTGGTGCAGTACTGCACGGGTGGATCGCAGGCATGCAGAAGAAAGCCACAAGCACTGTGTGCAAAGCCTCAGAAATATTAAAAGCACACACATACATCTCAGCAGGACACTCAAGATTTAAAACTCATGCAATCAGGGCAAAGGAGAACACAAGACCCCTACGCAGGGTTTGTTAAGAACCAAGTTGATTCTGATCAGCAGTTTCACTAGGTTCACTTGAGTCCTGGTAGAAGTTTGACCCATAACAAACCTTTGAAGCAACTTTGCAAAATGTTTCCCTAGTATCTCATAACAGACTGTAAAAATCAAGTCTTTCTGTCTGAACTATTTGAGTCATAAATGATTAGCTTGAATCCAGTGATTATTTCTTCCCCACACTGCACGAAAAATTTTGAGCTGTAAGGTGAGAGGCATTTTTTTTGTTTTGGGGGTTTTGTTTGTTTGTTGTTGCTTGTTTTGTGTTGTGTTGCTGGTGTTTTTTTTGTGTTTGTTTGTTTTTTTTTCCTAGGGGGGTGCAGTAATGCAGAAAGTTGGTTTTTTCTCATCAGGCATAGATGAACTAATTGGATTTTTAAAAAAGCCAAATAAATGGCACACTACTTCATTTAATGCTAAATAGGGTTCTTTTTGTAAGTTTTATAGAAATGTTAATTCTTAAGTTGCATAAATTAAAAATTACTTTCAATAATTTTCTCAGGTAGTCATTAATGGACAATTACGTTAGTAAAATACATTTCTGAGGGAGACCTAGTCCTTAATACCTGTTCTGTACCCCGCCTGCTGTAAAATCTTAAATTCATAATCCTCAGTAATCCTCTTCTCTGGGCCTGTTAAGAGAAACACATCATACAATGAAAGAATCTCCTAGATCGTTTTATGCACCAAAAACTAAGTCATATCTAAAGTACTAAAACAACTCTGCAGGATTCTTTAAGCTTCCATTAGATTGCCTACGTTTAAATAATGCAAAGATAATAAAACACAGTTTGTAAAACTTTGCCCATTTTGTTAGGTATGTATCACACCACAGGAAAGCCCTACCCCATTTGCAATGAAATTAACAGCTTGGGTTTTATACGAGGCAATACCTACAGAAGATTACCACTCAGGGGATAAGGAATTGGCTGGATGGTCAAACTCAAGGAGCTGCAGCCAACAGCTCTATGTCCAAGTTGAGACCAGCGACAGGTGGTGTTCCTCAGGGATTAGTGCTGTTAAACATCTTTGTTGGTGACAAACAGTGGAATTGAGGGCACCTCAGCAAGTCGCTGGATGATGCCAAGCTGTGTGGTGCAGCAAACACACTGGAAAGAAAGGATGCCATACAGAGGGACCTTGACGGGCTTGAGAGGTGGGCCCATGCCAACCTCAGGAAGTTCCATAAGGCCAAGTGTAAGGTTCTGCACCTGCCTCAGGGCAATCCCAAGCACAAATACAGGCTGGGTGGAATATGGATTGATCAGTCCTGAGAAGAAAGACTTTGGGGGTGCTGGTTGATGAAGGCTCAATAGCAGTCAATGTACAAGTGCAGCCCAGAAAGCAAACAATATCTTGGACTACATTAAGAGAAGAGTGACCGGCAGGTCGAGGGTGGTGATGTTCCCCTGCTACTTTACTCCCATGAGACTCCACCTGAAGTATTCTGTTCAGCTCTAGAGCACTCATCACAAGAAGGACATGGACCAGTTGGGACCAGGTCCCAAGGGGGGACAGGCAAAAGAGATAACTCATTTTAAGTTCATACCATAGCTTAAAAAATAGCAAAACATCCCATTTAATTCTTCTTTTAAAAAGAGTTTAATATTGGACTGGAAGTCCAATAAAACTTATTCATCCAATAACATGAGGAAGCATACTTACTGTTCTAATGTCATCTTCATAACTAGTGACCTGTTTATAATGAGGAGAGCCTGACAGTACTCTCCAAGCAGATATCCCACAAGCAGTTGCTTTAGACACTCCATCTTCATCTGCTTCACAGCCTCCTACAAGGAGAAGTCTGTAAAATATATAAAGGCATACTATGGTTTCATATACTGTCACATAAATGCTTTTGGGCTTTTTTAATTGTCTTAAATCAGAATTTAACAGAAGAAACAGTTCGCTTGCAGCTACAAGAAGGCTACCTAACAGCTCCAATAGGCTTTGGCTGTGAATAAACATCCTGAAGTTTAAAAAGATTTTGAGTCTTTGAGTTACTTGAGTAACAGTTGTTATTTGTGGCATTTATCCCTATCCATTCTTACCTCCAGCTTTCCAAATACGGCATAATTGCAAACACTTAAAATAAAGCATGTCTGCCTACAAATTTGAGTTTCTCCTCTATCCTCAAAGAACACAAATAATTACAGTTTAAGCTTATTAAAAGTTCTGGTCATTCTGTATAAACATTAGGCATCCAATTATTCAGATGTGATAAGAAAGTTACTTCTCTTTTATTGAGGAATATATGTAGGTTTTTCAGTTTTGTTTTCTAAAGCCATTCTCAGTTATAAAAGTGCAAATTCTGTTATACACAGTAGATGGTACTTTTAAAACTTGCAGGGAACTCTTAGACACTGCTGATTACCACAAAAATGCATCAAAATATTTTCCCTTGAAGCCCATTCACCTTATTAACAACTAGTTTTATATTCAACTGATAATTTCTTTGATGAAAATTTAGAGAACAGATGTCTGAGCTTGTTTGGAATTTTCATTTTAGTGAACAACCCATCAAAAAGTAAAGTATCTGCCAAAAAGGGACAGATTAGAAAAGCCAGACGTTCAGCCCCGAGAACAGTCCTTGATCAAAGCCTGCACTACTCCTGAAATGCCCTACCACCCAGCAGCTGCTGCTCAGGCAGCTCTCACCTGTGACTCCAGTGTGTTTCAAAAAACATTTCCTGCAGAAATCAATTCAAAGGAGGAAAAAAAGAAAAAAAATCCCTTCCACATTTATTTCTCTTTAAGAGCTTAGTAAAACCTCTTTAACATTCCCAGGTCTCATGCTCTTTGCATAAAGCATGACGACTCACAGCATGGATGCTTATTCTGTTAAGGTTCTTAAGAGTTTTAGGTACTTTATGGTGTGAAGAGTTGCCCAAAAGAGCAAAACAGAAATCACTTCCACTATTTTCCTCAAAAACAGCAATAGGAGACTCTCAGTTTACCATTATAATTAACAAGAAAATGTGTAAGTTACCATTGCATTGTTCTTATGATCAGAAGGTAAAGCATAGCACAGCTAAGAGCAATTACTTCTCCCTTGAGATGATACTACTTAGCTTTAGAATACACAAAGTTTCTGATTGGGCATCCATGACACAGTGGTTTCTTGCTATAGTATACCAAGAGGAATCCATGCTGTCATTTAAGGAGCAAATGGATTTTTATCAGAGTCAAGGAGATCTACCACAAGTAGCATAGCTCATACTTCAGACTTCTTAAAACTGGTAACCTAAATAGCATGTGGAAGCAAAAATATTTCTTGAGTAATTAGAAATTCACATCACAGCTTATGAAACAGCAAATTCATCTATTTTTGTAGCAGTAACATAGGAAATTAAATTCATCTACCATAGCTTTCCCATAGATATTTAGCAAGTCCACTAAGTTATGAAGATTACAACAATTAGCAAAGCATGTTTTTAGACAACCAGGGAGAGAACTTCAACACAGATAAAGTAGCAAGGAAGAATTGTATTCCACCATTCCGTAGATTGCAGAAGGAACTTCAGCATAAATACCATTTGTTAAACAGAATACAACTGTTGCTCAGGAAGCACACCAATCCCAGCATTAAAATACCACAGAACTCCTACAGCAGGTAGCTCTTCCCTGAACAAGCTAGTCATTTAAGACTGCATTGTGTCTTTTATGTGACAGACTTTGCATTTTAAAAGAACCCAAGTTGCTTTACATTTCAACAACCAATTTTTTTGGTTTTGATACTGGATATTCATTCTGGTCAATTGGCTGGACAATCCTCAAGTAAATATTTGGACAGGAACTCAAAGGAACTTAGCAAGACACCATTTTAACCAAAAATACTAGTCAAAGTACTTGGTTCTGCAAGTCATAGTAAGCACGAGCTCAGTCTGAGGATGTCTCTGGTACCTCAACTCATGAAGATTACAGGGACTGGTTAACAATAACAATGGAAAGGCACACATTAAAAACAATATTTGAGCAATTCCATACTCAAGCAACTGAGGAAGTCAAGCAACAAGCAGGACAACATATCAAGTTTAATTTCATTCAGCTTTGGAACATCAATAAATACAAGAAACTACTGGAAGAGTTTGTTATTCTTTTATGAAGACAGTGACTTTAACCAAGGAAGGCTTGGCAAGAAGAACATGAATCCTTCAGGAACATGGAAAACAATAACACATGAGGTATAGCCACCACTAATCACCACAGTTCTCAGAACTACACAGAAGATTTTCACAAATTTTCTGCTGATTACTGCAGAAAAGTGCACATGGGAAGAGAAAAAAAAAAAAAAAAAAAATCACAGATTGAATTTCATACACATAATAATCCATTTGTTTGTTTCCTTTCTGTACAATTTTTATTTTCCTTCTCCCTGGTATTTCCATTCCACAGCTTTGCTCTGCCTATGATCATGGTGTCAGAGAAGCTTGACACACTGGTGCTGATCAAAGAGCATGCCTCCAACTTGTACAGAAGCCATCTTTTAGATATGCTACATAGCTCTTCCAAGGAACTTCACTTAAAAACAAGGAACAAGTTTTTCAGTATCTTGCAGTACACACCTCTGCCAAGCAGATGAACTTTCAGCTGAGACAGAGCACATGACCTGAAATTCGTTGTAACAGCTCAAATAGGTTTTAAAGCAAAATACTTATGTACCATGTGATGCAGCTTATGCCCATTTTAGCTAGTCAGGAATAAATATGCTATGGTGCTCACACCTGAGCACACGGTCTATTAGTTGTTTTATATTAGTGAACATGAAATCACATCTTAAAACTCTGATAGATGTTGGCAAAGTCAATTACATGTAAAGTGATAAATTTCCTAACTTTTTTTTTTATCACAGAAAGCAAGTTTCATCATGTCCCTCTTTTGCAACCTGACCATGAGAAAAGCTTTAAAGTAAATAAATCTGTCAAGAAGAACTTCATGAAATCGCTACAACTCAGCCATCAATTCCTAATAACCAAGACACAGCAGGCATAATCTTCTGAAATATTAATTCACCTATGGTCGCACCCATCTGCAGGAACCTAAATTCTTCCATAAGTTCCAGCTTCCACTGCAACCTACCACTGAATTAAAAATTTCAACAGCAGCAGTGACTAGAACTCGATTACAATTGACCACACTGTGCCAGAGGTGACTAAGAGACAAATAGTAGCAGTAAGACCAGGAGAGGAATTGTCAATAGAAGTGGCAGCAGTAGCTCCAAAGCTGCCTGAACGAGCTCTCAGGAACTCCATCAAGATAAATCTTTTCAAAGAATTTTTGGAAAAAACTGTCACACACATTGCAACTTATTTATAATTCAGAAGTATCTTTTAGGATAAATGAAACTCAATGACAGCTGGAAGGAAGATGTCTTATCGGTTTAGACACACACAAAACACACAACCTCAAGACAAAAAAGCCTTTTCCCAGAACTGCAGAGAAACTCACCATGGCAGCACGTACTTAAAATTTTAAAGAGCTTTTCAGAGAGCAAAATGCAACAGCAGGGGCAAAAACTATTAAGATGAGTAACACAACTGGCATTAGAAGAAAAAGAAAGGTACTGCTGAGAGCCTCAGCAAAGATCTGGCCTTGTTTACCAATTATTTTTTCAGGACTAGATAGGAGACAACTCCAAAATAACAAGTTGACAGGTAGAGTGGAAGCAGCAACAGGAGAGGTTTTTTTCCTATTTATCTTTTATTTATTTTTTTTTTTTTTTAAAATACACTGAATCTGAAGAGGAAGATACCATTCCAACAACCTTTTTTGTCCCAGTACCATGAAAAACTACTTTTGGCCAAATATTCTGATTCTTAAGTCACACCATATCAAGTCAAGTTTTAAGCCACTCTAGATGGGTCACAAAACAACGTTAACTTAATATATGACACTTAACAGTAGCTCCCGAGAAGGGAAAGTTTTGTGTAACATGCTGTTATGGACATCAAGATTGATGCAACATCCTTTAGTACTTAAAGTGTTAAAATCTGAACGTATGCAAGAATAAAAATTCTTTTTCTACCCAGAGCACAGCTAGCACACCACAGTTTGTGCAACAGTTTTTGAGCTCCCTTTCTAGATCCCCTTAATATTCTACATAGTTCTGGAATCACACAACTCTTGGGAAGTCTTTGAGGAACTTCATGATGCCTGATGTCATGAAGAGCCAGGTAGCTAACTCACGAAGGTTTTAAGAAGGTCTGCCAGCTGCTCCTGATCAAAGGGTGCTTTGGGCTTTTGCTCCAGCTGACTCCTGATCAGTAAGGGTCAGGATCCCTTTCAACAAGCCCTGGAAAAATACCTATGTAAAAGCGCCAGGCCTAGAGCGCAGCCAACAGATGCAGCATTTTGTAGAAAATGATGGCCAGAAACAATTCCTGCACATGGAATTCCAGGCTCACTCCCCAGCACCCACTGGAGCAGCTACCCCAGCACACGAGAGGCCTTGACCCAGACCACGTTCCTAAGGGAGGACACAGATGTACAGGTCTTGGACTGCAGGGAGGTGCCTCCAAGCAACCTGCTTTAGTTAACCCTGCTGTGAAAGGGAATGGATTAGATGATCTCCAGAGGCTCCTCCAGTCTCACAAAAACATCTGCCCCTGCAGCACCTCAACTGTACTCTATTTTAAAGATTTCTGCATAGTTGGGCTGAAGAAAACTAATACAATCCTGGTCTCAAGAACAGCAAGTTCAATTGAGGCATCCAGAAAAAAAAAATCTGAGAGTGAGGCAATTCTTTAGCCATTAATTTTAGCACAATAAGCAAATTCCAACTGAATATAAAAACTTTAATCTCCTGTAGTCATCATAAATTCCAAGCTCTAGTATCAAACATTTTCTGTAGCAATTGCAGATAATCCTGCAATAAGACATTCACCTCCAGATTAAGATACTCAAAATAAGCAGGTGTTGAGCCTTCCATCAGAGCCTACAGAAAGCTCACACTAAAGCAGACATTTAAGTTTGTCAACTAAAGGGTACCATAAATTCCATCACAAAAGAAGGCTGGATCACATGAAAACACCAACATTAGGCATCTAAATTAAGGTATATCACACTTTTCAACAGCAGTGAAACTCATTAGATTTTTCTCAATGCTGTTTTTTCAAGTTTTCCTACAGATTCAGACACATTCCCTACTGGCATATCCTCTCTGCAATTATCATACATCTCACTGAAAAAAAGTCAAGCGTACTAAGTTCTTAAGTGCTATTTTATTGCACTGTAATAGGCAATGAGCAAATACACAGTAATATTAGAGTGCAGTAAGTCAAGCCTTACAAACCGTGGAAACAGACCAGTGTAACTTCACCATCTGAAACTAAACAAAACTCAAGAAAGCACAAAGTAACGAAGTTGACCCTTATGTGAAGTGATCAAAGTTCACACTAGTGAAAATGAAGAGTTCAGCACATTCATACATCTCTACAATTTTCTTTAAAGCACAATTTGAGAAGACTGCCTCCCTTCAACACCTTCAGTTTTTTGGGCTTTTGTTTGTAAAAAGACAGTTTCAGCAAAGGACTCTGCTCATCATTTTAGACTTCTCTAATGTCAAATTTAGAAGTTTCCTACCATAGAGTAAATTCAAAACAGAAAAGACTTGCCTAAGGGAAAAATATTAGGGAAAAATATTTGTTCTTTCTGCTTTCCATTCATTCCACCCAACTGTGCATTCTTTCAAGTATCAGCTTTTCAACTTTACTCAGCCAGTCAACTGGCAGCACACAGCAGGAGAAACTACAACCACAGGGGACTCCACATCACTATTTTTATTTTCATGGAAGGACTCCTATTTCCCAATAAAACAAGTCAATGCCTGAATGTCTGTTACGCCACACACTTTACTCAAGTTTACTACTTTAGCAGCAGATAACTACATATTTTCATGTAAGGAAAGGGCATTTCTCTCTCTAGAAAGCACAGAATACAGACAAAAAAATAAGTCAATGCCTGAATGTCTGTTACGCCACACACTTTACTCAAGTTTACTACTTTAGCAGCAGATATAACTACATATTTTCATCTAAGGAAAGGGCATATCTCTCCCTAGAAAATACGGAATACAGACCAAAAAAATGCCAAACATAAGCTTCCATAAAAAGATAACTTTAATTACTAATATTGTGAATAAATTGTTCAAAACACAAAACTATCATTGCCTTCTGCTCTTTTACTTCACACTAATATTAAGTTTTAAAAATACTAACCTTAGATCTAGTGAGAATAGTAGGAAAAACAAAGCTGCTACCTCTCAGAGGTCGGAGGAAAGAAGGAAAACACAGAAATTTTGCCTTTTTTTTTCCCCCCCTCTCCTCTTTTAAACCTCTATAGCAAGAAGTTGCCAATAGCACACACAAAGCAATGTCCATACTATTTGGCTACAACTATGCCAGCTGATTTTCTATGCATTTTGTTGCTAATAGGTTCATCCATTATAGGAGTTTAACAGTTCTAGCATCATTTACTCAGAAACACACCAAAAATGAAATAAGCACACCCATCTATTCTAGTTGTCAGAATAATTACTTGACCATACTTGAAATATTAAGCTATATTCTTTGCAACACTCACTGTTATAATCAATGTACTTCCTAATATTAGGAGCACAAAAGGTAACTTTGGAAACAAGTGTCAAGTACCATTAACCTGGCTTGATCAACGGAAACAAGGAATAGGTTCTATTGTCTGGTCAGATAGCAATACTAAAGCTCCACAACCCACCACATCTATTACCTCCAAACTCTAGATCTGGTATACTGAGTATTAATTCTGTGGAACTGCTAGATATGAACTAGGTAGAAAGAAGAAAACATATTCAAAATTAATCTCTCAAAGTAATAAGCTGGAAGAACTTTACTTCTCATTAATAACTACTTTTTCCTAAGATAGACAGGACAGCTCAATTAACACTTCAGAACAAGTTTTTATACAGGGAGTTTCTTCTAGTATTCCATTGCCAAGTCTTATTGCCATTTAAAACAACACAGTGATATAATATATTGAGCTGACAAATCCAATCCTAGTAGATCTAACAAAAGAAAAATATCTAGGAGGAAATTCAGTTTCTACAACTCAAGAGAAATTGAAAAATAAGTTGCTCAGCTTATCTTGCTTATAACAAGTTGATATTAAAAAAGATAAGACATTTTTAACAGAAGTAATTGGCTAACCAGGACCTATTCCAACTAAACCTGTTTCAAGAGCAGGCAGTCAATTAGCCTATTTGTCTGTTTGTCATGGGTCTGGTATCTGTATCCTACATGCTACCAGTAGAAAAAAAAAAAAAAAACAAAAGCATCACAAGATAAGTCCAAATACCAAGCCTGGCAGTTCCACTCAGAATACTAGGGAAAATGGAAATGGGCTGGCCAACATATCCAGAAAGTAAATTCAGGCAGAAAGAAAACCCAAAAAAAACAACCACTCAACAGCCTTTACCGCCACCAAATTAAGAAATGCATTTTGAAGCTATTCTTGAAGCTATTCTTGACATTCTAAAAAAATGCTGCTATGTAAGGTACTCAAACAGTGAAGGACATGACTTAATTTTCACTATTCCAGTAGTAAAGTCAGATGACCAACTAGGGCTTCTTTCATAAGTACAATGATACTCAACTTTTTATTACGAGCTCACCAAATACCAATATTAAAATAGTTGTCTTTTCTCCCCCCTCCCTATCCAATACACTTCAGTATTTAGTTTGCCTCTTTTGTTCATAATTTCCATATTATTGGTAGGTAGCAAGCAGAACACTTACCTGTGACCAGGATGATAAATGACAGTAGTTATTCCATGGGCATAATGGCTGCTAAAGCTGAAACTATGACTCTCCTGAAAGCTTTGATTTGTTCCAACATAGAGTATGGGGGGAAAAAAAAAAAAAACAAAAAAAACACACATTCATTATTTCTGGTTTAAATTTTCTTTAAAGAGTAAAAAGAATCCCTCTGAAGTTCACTGCACCTTCACAAAATAAGTAAAAATTAATGCTTACCTGACAAGATAACTTCTGAGTTCCCCACGATAATTAACGACAAGCAGTTCAGCTGACCATTGGGCACTTGCTTTGTATTCTAGAAAGATTAGTCCAGCAATAGCATAACTCAGATCTCCTGGAAAACTTGCTGTCTTCATCCAAAAACAGACAGACATTTAGAGAGAAAAGGGATATAAAAGAAGTGTCTAATAACATTTCATCATTTTATTAGTAACTAAATAAGCTTCCTTTTCTCTTGATTTTGAAGAAAGCTTATTACTATAAAGTCTGCAAAGACAATATACTAAGAAAACACACTTGAGTCACCTTCCTAAATTAATATAAATTTTGAATATGTAAAACAAAATATGTTGTGTGGAGTAAGCCAACAGCAAGTATCTATTCTTATACTAGGAAAAACAAATCCTCATATTACACTATCAGCAATATTACTTGGTTTATAAGTGACTGCATAACAACTGCAGATTTGTAATCTACCACCACAAACTAATTTTTTGCACACACACTAATTAGGTGAGTCTACACTTTCACGGTCTGATGCACCTGCACATCTACCACAATTCCAAGAAAAAGAGAAGAAAGATGAAGATCCTTACTACATACAACACCACAAAGGACATGCTTTCCAAGTGCTACACAGGACTTCAGTTAACTCTAATGTATCCATCACACAATAAACACTTCATGGTACATCCATGCATGGTACTCACGCTGTAAGTCAAAGTAAGTGATGATTTAAAAAAGGCCAAAGAGTGGCAATCATCCCTTATCCTTAAAAAAGGTTCTACTATATTCATACTTAATCTCAGACAGCACTTACCGGTGAAATGACCAAAAGCTCACTACCCATCAGGTCAAACACTCTCACTGTTCCAGTGCTCTCAGCATAAGCAAGTAAGGTACAATCATGGCTCCATGCCACTCGTCTCCACTGAGGGTTAGGATCCTTTGGTACTATGAAAAAGAAAGAAAGCTAATAAAAACTTAAATATAAATATTATCCCTTAAACAGAATAAAAAGTCAACTGCATCAAAAACGCATGGCGTCTACCACCATTACAAGCTTATCTTGGAGGACAAAGCCAAAAGAAAAACCAACAAGCCACCAAACACCTCCAACACCTGCTATGTCTCCCAAACCCATTATTTTTAACTACAATTTCATTTCAGATTCAGGTTTTATTGGTTAAGCATCATGAAAAGAAGAGGGAGAGGGTGGGTAATGGAGCTAGTTACAAAGCAAAATTATTAAGAGACTCTTCCCAATGCTTTTAAGAAATTACATTATCTTTAAAGTAAACCAACACCAGGACTTAGCAATGCATGAATAATAAACAATGATGACACTGAGTAATGATGTAGAGGTTGCCATATTGCATACCTTGGCATTTTCCAACTATAGATACAAAGTCATCTTTGGCAGACCTGCAGAAAAAGACTTATATGAATTTAAATAAGAAAAAAAAAAAAACAAAACAAAACACACTATTCAATTCTACAGAATAAACAAAACACTATAAAAATACTGTTAAGTGCAGAATCCAAAGGCCTGCATGTATTTCACAACTGGTTCAAAAAGACAGAGAGTAGTCTTCAACCTTGGGCAGCTACAGTGATTAGCAATAGTATTTTAGAAACCCTCCTCCCAGTGCATAAATACCAATATCCCTCATTTAGTAGTAATTTTAGTATTCAAGATCATTAAATTTTAGTAGTCAAGATTGAATAGCAGCATCTCACATCTGCAGCATGTAACTTTAGGGTGGGGGAAATCTAACTAGTCAGTATTCTCTAGGCTACAATTTTAGAAACAATGCAAGAATTTACTTACATTAATACAGTTGAAACACAAGATTTATTTTATAGTCTATAAGCTGACATTTATGGTGTTCACACCACTTCTGATTGAACAATTTTCATACACTTGCTTCTTTTACATATAAATAGAAGGTCTGACCTTCTAGCAAATGGATTTTTGTGAAGCAAGTAAACACACTCAATCAAGATCTGTTCTACAGCTAAATGTGTTCCTGAACTGGCAAAGGAGAGCTTGTTGTTAGAGAGCAGAAGAAAGAGGGAAAGCATCAGTCTTTACAGCAACCAACATTACTTCTAAAGTAAGGTGAAGTATTATACATGCCAGCTACTCTACAGAGAGGCAGTGTACTGGCTCCTTGTCCCATTTATTAGGAGAGACTTAGGGGGAACAGAAAGGCAAAGCTTAGAAAGATCAATATTTGAGTGTAGCATTTTGAAGCATCTTGATTGTTTTTCTTTCACATTCTGAAAAAAGAAAGCAAAAGATACAGATCATAAAATCATAAAATGCTTTGAGTTGGGTGGGACCTTTAAAGACCATCTAGTCCAACCCAGCTGCAGCAAGCTGGAACATGTTTAACTGGATCAGGTTGCTCAAAGCCCTGACCAACCTGACCTTGAATGTTTCCAGGGTTGACACTTCTACAACCATCCTCACCGAAAAAAAAAAAAAAAAATCTTCCTCATATTTAATCTAAATCTACCTTTTTTTAGTTTAAAACCATTATACCTGGTCCTATCACAATACATACCGTGTTCATAGAAAAAAAAAAAAAAAAAAAAAAAAAAAAAACAACACACCAAAAAAAACTGTCCTCATCTTTCCTGCAGGCTGCCTTTAAGCACCGACAGACCACGGCAAGGCCTCCCAGAGCCTTCTCTCCCCCACGCTGAACAACCCCAACTCTCTCAGCCTTTCTTCACAGGAGGTGTTCCAGCCCTCTGATCATTCTAGTGGTCCTCCTTTGGACCTGCTCCAGCAGATCCATGTCTTTCTTGTGCTGAGGACTCCAGAGCTGGACGCAGTCCTCCAAGTACAGTTTCATCAGAGCAGAGCAGTGCAGAATCACCTTCCTCCAGCTGCTGGTCACACTTCTTTTGATGCAGCCCACAACACCTATAGCATTTATCATTAGGGGAGTTTTTGACAGTGGGATTGGTGTGGTCTTGTTTCTTTGGTTTTTAAACATCACATGTCCAAGAACCAAGAAGAAATAGAAGGCTTCTGCTTTCTAAGTAATAATATATTTTAAGATGATTATTCAGATTACTTCAACAATATATAATATAAAAAAAAAAAAAAAAAACAACACACCCCAGAAAAATCATTAAAGGTATAGTTAGTAAATGACTAGAAACATTCTCAGAACTCCACAACTGTGTTCATGAAGCAATAGATCATACAAAGTTACCTGATTTCTACACATTGGTCTTGAACAACTGCCAACAATTTTCCATTGCTGAAAGAAAAAGATACAGGTGTGAAAGTTCTTTTAAAGTCAGTCTTTACACAGAAAAGACAACAGAGCTCTAGGTTTTTTTCTGAAAGGTTAGATATAAATTTCCTCTTTCATAAATAAAAGCAAATTGGGAAATATGAATTTTTATTTTAAAAAAATATAGATCTGTGCTATAGTAAGATTCCCTTCATGTCACTGAAATGTATCTGTCCTTTTTTCCTAGTAGCATTAAGAAAACAAATATCTAAAAACTGCAGGCAGGGGAGGTCAGAATAAGATGTTGCTTATGGATAATTTTATAACAGCAACATCTAATGCTATATATTGCTTTATGTGGAACAAATAACTGTCATACTTCAGTAAGTTAAGTTGTGTCCTTAGGAGCAGGTCTCCTGTCTTTGCACCTAACATACAACACTGCAACTGGCACATCGTGCATCAACAGGGATCATCACTTGCCTCAAAGAGCCACCTTCACTCTCAGCAGCACAGAGCTCTTGCTGAACTACTGATCATACTCAGTGAAAAAACACAGTGAACTAAAACATTCCATACTACCTTCATATTACTAATCCATTTTTCTGCATATATTTATGCCCATTTCTAAAAGCCAGTGATCTCACTGATGCTGCCAACATTACTGCAGAAGAGCTGGTTCTAGCCTTGGAACTCTCACTTCTCTCCTATGTATAAAATAGCAAACAAGTCTTGCGGGTATGCAATCACTGCACAAATTTTAAAACAAGCTATTTATATCACATATCCTGCCAAATATAGGTCTTTAAATGATCAAATTCTGGACTTGAGTTTGAGAACAATTGCACTGCAAACTACTTTGCCTCAAAAGCTAGGAGGACATTCAGACCTGAGTGAGAAATACATTAAATGACGGGTAGCAGCATGGAAGTCCCTAGGCAGCAAACAGACTGTTCCTTTCCAAGGCTACCTTGGCAAAGCCTCCAGTATTTCTCTTGACCAAAAAAAATAATGTGACTTTAGCACAATATTAACTTGGCACTGCTACCAATGGTGCGTCTGGGGGAAGGAGAGGAACCTTTAATATTGCCAAAAATGGAAAGCATGTAAGCTGGTTACCTTGCAAGTACCAGGTGCCAGTTGATCTGCTTACTAACGAGACGAACCAGTCCAGGGGGCAGAGAAAACTTTGCAGGGCTGAAATAACAAAAACATCAGGTTAAATCAGAACATAGACTTAACAAAAGCAATATCTGAGACGTGCAGGCCAGACAACTTGGCTTTAAGGTAACTACCAATCACTTGGGAGGTTTTAGCAACTGAACATGAATCAACACTGCACCCTGCCAACGATAAAGGCTAACAACATCTCTGTTTGTATTAACAGGATGAACCCACATACTGAGGGAAATGATTACTACTCATCATTCTGGTCAGCCGTCAGTTTTGGGCCCCTGTTAAAAGAACACAAATAAAATGGAGGGCCACCAACATGGTCTAGGAACACTTTCCATAGAAGGAGATGCTAAGAGAATGTGCTTGTTTAGCCTGGAGAAGGGAAGGCTTCAGGGGGAGCAAAGACCATCTCTCTGATACACAGGGGTTACCATGAAGATGGAAGCCACCGAATACATGACAGGAGCACAAGAAACCATAATCAATCCTTTGTTGGACTGGCAGCATTAGGGTAATGGTTGGACTCAAAAATCTTAAAGGTCCTCTCCAATCTAAATGATTCTAACATTATAAAACACAGGAGGTTCCAAGTTGACATCAGGAAAAGAATTCTTTACCATGAAGACAGTAAGGCACTGGAACAGGCTGCCCAGAGAGTCTTTAGGATTTTCATCCTTTAAGCTTATCAAGGCTTAGATGGACAGAGCCATAAAGGAACCTAGTCTGAATTCAGTGTTCTCCCTGCTTTTAGCAGGACTTTAAACTAGTCACCTCCCAAGCTCCCTCCCAAACACTTTTATTAAATACAGAAAAATAGCAACTAGTCTCCATTGTAAAAGTTAGAAAACAGACTTGAAATATGATTGTTGGGACGAAGGGAAGAAAAGTAAGTTAATCCTGTCTGCAGATGAATCCTTACAACTAGACTTAAATGGTGATATGGAGCCCATAAACATCACCCTGGCTCCTGACAAAAAAAAAAAAAGGGGAGGGAAGGGGGATGCAAAATAAAGTAGAACACCAAAAACTGGGAAAACAGCATTGTCTGCTGAATTCACGTACAGTGTTGTTTCACAGGGAGCCACATTAATGTGCCTTTCTATACATCTCAAAACCAACAGAACAACCCTAAAAATGAAGAAGTGATATCTTCAAACCTGCCAATTTCATCAATAGAGTAGTATACCCACAGAGCTGAAATTCTCCAGAAACACTGTATTTACCCAAACACATATCTGGGACCATTTAAGCACCTTTGGAATCAGAAATTACATTTTTAAATGGTATAATGTTGCTCAACTAGTTACGCAGCTTTTTGTATCACTGTTTGAATTGTCAAGAAAAAAATACACAAACTATTACTTCAAAGGAAGCAAATCCTGCCATGCCATCACACCTACCCCTGAGGCTTAAGAAACAAAAACAGCTTCACTTGCCCTGCCTCAGCTGGGAGTGGGAAGGATGTACACATGTTTTGAGAAAGGCGATGTTCCAACTGCAGGATTACTTAGGCTTCCCACAAAAGCAAAAATCCAAACAAGTATACATCAGCTCTTTTCTAGATAGCTTTCAGCTGCAAGTCAAGGAATTGCAACTTAAACTTAAGAAAAGAGAACATTCTAAGTGTTGCTTAGAATATATGCTAAACAAGTGTTCAGCTTTACTCTCATTAAAAGAATCACTCCATCAAATCAGAAAGCTATAAAATATTACCAAGGTAAAAGATTAAGCACTATTTTCATCCAGCCTACCTGTACCAGAGGTACCGAAGCAAAAACAATGCAGGACCTACAATGGAAAAAAAGGCAAAAATTACACCTCTAGCAATTTTTGAATACTCTCCAGCTTACTGCACACAGAATCTCAGAAATTCTCACAGAAGAAAAAGGGAAAAACCCTCTATCCTTGGCCAATGAATTCTTACATTAGGGTAAATACAAAAGGTAGATCAAAAGGATCACTACACACTTCTGAAAATTCTAAGACAAATTCCTATTGGATGAAAATGCAATTCAATTACTGCATAAAACAAGTGTTGAATGGCAATGTAAGAGGATCAGAATGTAAAGCTTCCTTACAGAACTGTCTAACTAGCAAACAGCCCAATGCCAGAGCTGGTAGAAGAAAAAAAAAAAAAAAATCAAAACTTCTTAGCATATTGAAATAAACTAAAAAAACCATAATCTAACAGACACAAGAAAGCTCACCAAGAGAGCAGAAACATAACATAGAAATGCTGGAAGTCAAAAAACACCTTCCCGAGAACACATCCAGCACACAATTTCCATTACACTAGCCACCCTAAAGTACAGAAATTGCAAATTCTAGAAGCAACCCACACATCATTCTTACAAGTCATGAGCATAAAAATAAGTCATATTTACCTGTAATTGCTCTAGTGATGATAAATGATGCACCATGTTTTCTGTTGCCTCTTGGCTGCAAATACAACAATAATGGTCAAAGACTGTGTTATACGTTTTAACTTAAATACAACTCATCCATATATTCACCCATTAAGTTGCCTGCTAGCCTGCATGTTCCTCATGTATTTTCTATTACTTGCAACTTCATACAGAGACTAATTTAACTGCATAAGCTAAAACAGGCTATAAAGCCAAATATTTTAAGTGCCAAGATGTAATAAACAAAATGTACTGCAGATTGTCTATTGATTCAGCTTTGCCTTGATCTTTAAGAAGACACTGACTTCTGATTATGTTCTCCTGTAAGGTATTATAAATGATTCTTTGTATGCCAAATGAAAGCCAGATTGATCTGTATGGCTGAGAAGTCAAAGCAATTGCTGTTCAACATATTATGTTAATATATAACTGCTAAGCTACACAAAGACTGCTTACGTAAAGTTTCAGAAATACTAAGAAGAACAAAGAACTTCTGAAGAAAAATTCTTTTTAAGTCATTTTGTACTAGGCAACACAGTCACCCAAATCATGACTTGTACTCCATACTATCTCACTGAGCCTTTCCAGCAGCCCTGGTTTGCTTAAGGCAGAGGTGAACAACTACACCCACAATATACATGGAAGTATTCTACAGACACAGAAAAAGAAATACAAAACAGTACAGGATGTATGTTCTCAGCTATAAGAAGAGTTGAAATTATTTGCCAATAAGAAAGTAACAGAAAGGGATTAAACTGAGAAGAGAAGCAAGATAACCAATACAGAAGGCATATACACACAATTCCTGAATATAAGCAGTCATGCTTACACTTTCCTAGTGAAAATATCAGAGCACGACAAATTGAGTATTAAAGTGAGTAATGAATGAATTTCCCCTTCCCCCCAGTATAGAGTACTTAGAGCAGCTCATTGTTAAATATTCAGACCTCTCACTTCAAGTTACAGAGCAGCGAACACTGGAAGACACACAAATTTATCAAAATTCTGGAGCATGCCCATGTTAAAAAAAAAAGGGGGGGGAAGGCTCCCAAATTTAAGTTATTAAAGTAAAGATTAGCATTTTTCTATGCAAAGTTTGCAATCCAGAAGTAGTTTTTCAAATAATCAGGGTGTCATCTCACAGCACGTGAAACCAACACAGCTGTACTAATTGATCAACCTAAGTCTGCAACATTCCCTATCAGGAAATAACAGGCCATGACAGTAAAATAAGTGAGAATAGAAATTATTTCTTACAGCTACCATAGTAGCTTGGGGAGAACTGCAATTTCCTAGGGAAGTTAAAAGCAGCACTTGTTAAAGCTTTTGGATTAAGAAAAGTTCCCAGTAAAAACATTTCCTAAAATTGCTTAAACTTTTTTTTTTTTTTTTAAATATTCTTAGCATCCACTTGTGAGCCTGAACTACAGGTTCCACACATCAAATTGCCTTTTTTTTTTTTTTAAATATTCTTAGGATCCACTTGTGAGCCTGAACTACAGGCTCCACATATCTTAAACCTTTCACAAAGCTGATTTACTATTATATTCTGAAGACCTGAGTTTTACTTTTCATAATATATTCCTATAACCTTAGCAACAGCAATGGCTACCAGATCTGCTATAGATCTTGTTTAACTTATGCCTATTGGGGAAAACAGCTTCAAGTTTCAACATTCCAGAAATAAAACCTATGAAACTTCCTCACTGATAAGAAATCCACTACATATGGTAATATTTTCAGGCCTTCCTATCTCCGCCATTCAAAATAGGAAGTATCTTGAAGAAAAAGTAAATAGGCAAGAAACACCAAGTTTAAAATAGCCTGTATCACTTGCTAAAGTTTGACAAGCAGAATTTTATGATGTTTAGAAATTCTGAATATCAGGGCAGATTAGGACCTTCAGACTATGGTTCCACAACCACTTTACCTTGGCATACTGAACGCTGCCACTAAAGAGAGGCCTCACACTCCACTCAGCTTTGTCTGACACATTATTCACCCACCTTGGTAACCACAAGACCACTAGGGTGATCACTCAACAAAAAGAAATGAAAAAATGATTGTTTCTCAAACTAGCTCATTAATCAACTTACCATATAACTTCAAGAGTACTAATGGCAGCAGAAGAGAAGGGACACTTGTCAGAAACATGCCCACTTAGTACAGTTGTAGAACCACAGTCTGTGCTTTGTCTCACTTGCTTTACAGATT